ACATAGACACAGTAAGACCCCGTAAAATACTGGTGCACAATGTTTCAGAATTGGCCTTTTCGTGTTTTACAAGTAATACACCCATATACTTGGCACAGGTATTAATGGTCAGATTTTGATACTTAACAGTACAAGCTTAAGGCGACATTTAATACACAAAAGTGCAACAACAAAGCTGTTCTATTTTTGTTGACAGGCTCAGATGATCATTAGTCTGAAGTAACGCTTGATTGCTTTTTGTCTTGATTGCTGTTCAAAGGTTGGTTGTGGAGAGAATGATCTTCAACACTGCCGTTAAGTAGGAATAACAATCACCACACATTAAAGCCACGTCATATATCATGGATTTCTAAGTATCAACCACGGTATTATGCTCCGAGAGACGCAGGCCAATCGGCATTCAATCACGCTCCATTTCCTTTCAGTCCAGCTTGTTGTCAAAGATATCTGTGTTCTGCATAAGTACGGTAAGGAAGAAATCCTGTAATCATGTGAATAGAATCATTAACCACGTTATGGATGTATATGTACGTGTCATCTTATCATGTATAACTACTTTACTATGTAACTCTAATTCCACATGTACACTTTACCTGCTCGACAGGCAATGATGTAGCTACAGACTTATAAATGGAGGCAGCTCATCTTATTTATGGTGTTCACATGGTGGCCATTTTCCCTTGATGTCTCAGTCAGGGTTGGAGCTCAACTGAGTTTATCAACAGGGTAATGTAGTTGTGCTGTGTTCCAGTTGTAGAATTGTGTACGTATGAAAAATCATGATCATTTTACTAGTGCCCGACCGATATGGGATTTTTGGGGCCGATACCAATACAGATATATCGGTCGCATTGTGTTGATCCCTTGAATGCAGTTATCATACACTTGTGGAAAAGATATATAATGTAGACAAGATGGTCTCTTAACTAGAAAGTAACTGCGCATGTACGTGCCTCACCACTTGACACTCTGGAGAGTGATGATGCTCGAATGAAAGGCTATTTGACTGGTGAATAAATCTAGTAATATCGGATATTGGAGATAAAAAATGAGCCGATGCCCATTAGTCAAGTGATATGATATCGGCCGATATCATCGGCTGGCTGATTAATCGGTCTGGCTCTACATTTTAACTATTTGCAATTCACCAGTGACTGAAAAGTAAAAAAAAAAAAAGTTCCAATCTTGAAGGACATCAAACCACAAGTCAAAACAAAATATATGATAAAGCCTAAGCTACAGTTGGTTAACTGTTGTCTCACAGTGGCTCGTGTACTTGGTCGTTAAACCTTGGAAAATATGGCCTGATGTCCTTAAAGATTTAAAGATTTTTCAATAGCCATTGTTTTCAGGTGCTGATCATTCTAACGGTGCAGCTCATAGCATTATCATTTGAGCTTCTCAACCTGAGCGTGACCTCAGGAAAATGGCCGCCATGTGGAGAATAGAGGCAGTGAATGGTGGTGATTGTGCCATTAGCTGGTAAAGAGGCAGCCAGTGGTAAGGGCATAATAGGAAAAGTGTCAGTCCTTAGAGTGAATCTCAGTGTCAGTCCAGACTGGAATCATCTCCCAGGACTCAGACACATGACTCCAACAGCAAGTGATAAACCTCAGAGACCAGCTGAAGACATTAACACTTCACTTGTAGTTGATATTGTTGAGTTGTCATATATTATCCTTGCTCTACAGCCTGTACATTGACCCTGGATTTTTAGATTAGGAAAGCTACACACAAAAAAAAGTTGTGTAGAAGAAACAGACAGAGAAACCTGCAATAGATGCATTGTGTACAAATGATGACGCAAAAATTAAAGCCATTGATAGTTGAATGTGTGTTAAGAATGTTGGACTCAGGAGGACGTCGATCTACTTTGGAAGTTTCCAAAAAGGATGTTTCCATGTGAAAGTCAGACTCTATTGTATTTCGCTTGATGGGATGCAAACGTCGTTGTTTAAGTTTTCCTCAGAAATAAGAAAATACTGCAGGGCATAATGTAATGTTCTCAAATGTTAAAACCTTATTGTAACCAGGCTCTACTTTTTAAGTTTGTTGCTCTGAGTGCATGCCTATTAAGATGAAAAATGTACCTGAAACTGAAAGCAGCACTGATAAAAACTCTGATATAAGAAATAAATCACATGACTATGAGGTTGTGTTCTTCTGAGCTTTGTTTGCAGACAATTTGGTCAGTTGTTAGCGGTGTAAACGCTCTGATTAACCCTCTATAACTACATACCTAGCACAGAACAGCAGACATCAGCTGTGATGGGAGTGAGGGAGTGTTCTGTGTACGAGTAGAAGATGGAGAAAGCTGATTATGAACGAGGACGTTCCTGGTTCGTTCCTGGTTCCTGGTTCTCAAGTATCATTCTGAGACTTGGCTGGAAATTTAAGCAGTCAGTGCAGCAAAGCTAAAGGAAGCAGGACATACAATAACTCATAACGTAGCACTGAAAGAAGAACTTTACACCAACAACAACAACAGTTTACTCTTCTTGTGGAGGCATTGCCTTTACATATTGTTCCACAGTTTTTCTATTCTCTGTGATACTCTGCAATGCAATACTCTGTGAGCCATCAGCTTGTTACCATGGATACATGATAACATCACATGTATTACTTAAACAAGATACTGTCCTGTTGGTTAAATACGTGAGTCATTAGATTTGTACTGCTGATAATGAGGCATTGTGTTTGACCATATCCAGTCCTTTCTTGTTCAAATTTTAATGATTAATGATCAAAATGTTTGATGCGGAAATGTTGATTTATAAAATCGCCAGGAGTGTATCTGTAGAGTGCAGAGTTTACACGCTCGTTAGGTATTAGATTCACTTGTTAACAAGTTAAGAGTTGCTCAGGTCTTTGTGCCGGCAGATGCTGAAGCTGATGTTTTGGCTGCAGTTGTAGTTTTGGTGCCGAATCAGAAGAGGACATATATATAGTGTATTTCCACCCTTTGATTCATGCTTTGAAACATGGTATGTAAACGTGCAATATATTGATGGAATGCTATCATATTCAGTATTGTTTTATGTCATCAGTGTTTGATTGTTAAATATGATCTTAATGGATTTTTAGATATTTCAAAAAGGTAAGGTAGCTGGAAGACCTGACCAATAAAATGAAATCAAAATGAACTCAAAGTTGTTTCTGTCTTAATTAAAATTCATATAACGATGTCAGTGCACATACATGTAGATGTAGCATGTAGAGCACTTCTAACAAAAGATGTGACTCATCTCCCCTGACTGGACTTTTTAAGTGCGGTGTCTATAGGCGTGTTCGGACCGCAGGAACTTTTTCATAATTCTAAGAGGTGTTGGAACCCTCCCACTTTTTTTTTTTTTAGTGATTCTGCACCTCAAGAACTATTTTAGTTCCTAGAACCCCGAATAGAGGAACCGTTCTAGCTCCTGCTTCAGAGGAGGTACTCTCTCAGCACCATGGTGGTGTGAATGCAGACAGAAAAAAACAGTTCCCATGGTGTTTAGTTCTCAGGAAATTCCCTATCAGACAGTTCCTCTTCAAAAAGTCCCCAGAAATGTTTGGTCTGAAAACACCTCATGCAGCCTTTTTTAACAAGTTTTTGACCTCAGATATGAAAGTACTGTATTTTCCGCACTATAAGGCGCACCTTCAATGAATGGCCTATTTTAGAACTGTTTTCATATATAGGGCGCACCGGATCATAAGGCGCATATAATAGAAGATACTGCAGTCAAACGTTTGACTGGGGTTGCGTTATGCATCCACTTGATAAAGCTGTGCTAAAGGGAATGTCACCAAAACAGTCAGATAAAGTCAAACTTTATTAAGCGTTCTGACAAGTCCGTTCACTCCCATGGTAACGATGTTCAAACGTTAATGTGCATATTAACAATATCTCCCAGCCTTGTTCACTCTTCTCCCAAACGTGGAGGGGAACTTTTCCCTGATTCAGTAAACACGTAGTAAAAGAAACAGTCTGATACCACTAAATCAAACGTTAGTGCATTCACAATATAGTAACTCTCGAAATTGTTCAATTTACGTATAAAACTGCATTCACAATAACTCAACGTTGTTCAAACGTTAATGTGCATATTCACAATATCTCCCAGCCTTGTTCAGTTGTAAACACGTAAAAGAAACACAGTCTGATACCACTAATTCAAACGTTAGTGCATAACTCAACATTGTTCAGTTACGTATAACACGTAAAGCTCACTTTTTCAGTTCATTCCCCGTCCACGAATCCCTCGAATTCTTCTTCTTCAGTGTCCGAATTGAACAGTTGGGCGAGTACGGCATCCAACATGCCCGGCTCCCTCTCGTCATTATCTGAGTCAGTGTCGCTGAGCGCCGTGTACAACCAGTATGGATCAACCAATTAACCAATTGATCCATATATAAGGCGCTCCGGATTATAAGGCGCACTGTCGTTTTTTGAGAAAATTAAAGGCTTTTAAATGCGCCTTATAGTGCGGAAAATACGGTAAATGACTTTTTAGTCTTCTGAGGTTGCTACGTAAAGTGACCATCAGTATTCACTAATCTCATTCATACACCACCGACGAAGAAGCGGGAGCAACTTATGGTTAAGTGTCTTGCCCAAGGACACATCGGACATGTTGCTGCAGGAGCCGGGGATCGAACCTTCCTGTTGAGAGACGACAGACTACCAACTGAGCCACAGCCGCCTCAGTAACCTACACATCCAATTAAACTGGCAGCCCCTGAAGTCCCAAAAGTAAATAGTTATATAACTCATACAAACAAGTTTTTTTTTGTACTTTTTGGGACTTCAGGGGCTCCGCAGATTATAGTCTCTGTAAGCTACACTTCAGACTCCTGCCTGGTAAACAGTGGTGGGGGAGATTCTTTCAAAGCAAAGTTGCCGGTTAGTTCACACTGGAAGAGGTTTAACCACAACAAAGCTACCCCAATGAAATACAAAAGAAATTAAATCCATCAAAACAACTTTGTAAAAACAAAGACTGAACTGACAATGTAAATATAATATCATATTTTATCATTGTATGAAAATAAAGTCAGAAACTTCTAATGTATAAACATGCCCAATCGAAACAAAATACCCAGCTTCTCATGGGTAAGGGACGCTTGTGAGGCGATAACATGTAGCACACTGTTCTGTATTAGCCGAGCTCAGTTAGGTTGCTACTTATCAGTAGAATCTGCTGAGATTCAGCAACAACACAAGTGATCCTCAGTCCCTGTGTTGATCTGCTGTCTGGATGTCAATGCGGGACTGTTAGTAGAAGTTTGCTATTTGTCCTCATGAGTGACAGCAGAGTCCCAGAGGACTAGAATCATTTATAATACCAAACACACTTCAGGTCAATTGTAGCAAATCGAACTCGGAACCCTTTTGTTCACACACAGGTGTGTCCAGCTGTGGCTGTAGAGAGTGACCCCCTAGCAGCTGCATTCGCAACATGTTACAGTCATTGTGAAAATAAAGCCATCATCTGAGGACACTGAGGAGCGGTCATCGACCTCTCTTACCAGCAGGACAGAGCACAATGTCCTGCTGCTTAAAGCAGTGAGAAAGTCAAAAATAGTCGAATAATATTTATCCAGATTGACCAGATGACCAAACCAGTGATGGGAAATTAACTCTTAAAAATCAGATAAATCAAATTATCCATTTATATAAAGAAGATCATGATTCAGGTTTTCTGTAATTTACCCTTTTCTGCTGTCCTTTGTTTAAAATGTGAGTTTCACGGGCCCAGGATAGACCAATCCTCTCTCCGACCAGCAGTTCTTTAACCCTTTGATCCTTGCTACAAAAAAAATGCACTATTTTCATCGATCCTATCGAGGACACCTCAGCTTTTCAGCGGAAGAGCAGTAGATTTCTGTCACTGCGTGGCCACAGCGGGAAGGCCTGGCTGTGGAGCTGCTGCCACGCCTGCTGGTGAGCCTGAGAGGCCTTCTTGTAGTCCCAGTAAGTCTGCAGATCTGCTCCCCTGAAATATAACAAAGAAAGAAATCACTGCTTACTAAGACACTTGAAAGCAACATAGCCATTACTGGTGTTAGCACATTGGTTTATGTCCAATGACAAGTCAAAATGCGTGGAAAAAGGAGCTAACTGTAAGGAGATTAATATTAGAATTAGCATCAGGTGACTTGAGTTTATGCATTAAGAGTCAAGCGGAGACTTTGGATTGCCGCTGCTTTATTTTATGTCCTCTTACACATGAAACTCTATCAAATCAGACAAAAATTGGAGACTAACAAATATCTTATATGTCTCTCCTCACTGGACACACTATTGTCAACACAGATAATGTTGTCATTGTATGCTGAGTGTGTATGTGCATGTGTGTCTATGGTGCAGGGCAAGCTGGACTGGGATCGGGTTATCTGCCAAAACTCTGATAAACAGAGAGACTCTTGTTCTGCTGTTTGAGGACGATTCTCAGCCATCTGTACGCACGCAGACACACACCTAATTACACTCCTACACACAAAGAATGTGAACATGGACAACCCTGGAAGCACTCGTGGAGACTTATAAATGAAATGTGAGAACTGCATGACAGGCAGGCACACACACACACACACACACAATTTGTTGGGTAAAATCTCAACAAGTAATTTGAAACTCTTTACTATATACTATGAAGAGAAAAACCTGGGACATTGGTTGTTCAACTACAGAAAAAAAAAGACAAAAACATGAGTTTCAAACAAAAGCACAAGAAGGTCATGCACGGTAAGAGAAGAAGTGACACACACAGGCCTCAGTCAGCGCATTATGTTAAATGACAAAAACATCACTCTTCATCTCTGAGGCCTCATTATAAAGCCTCATCTCAGATCAAGAGCTTCACCTGAGGTGAACATCAGACCCTCAAAGCATTAACTTCTACACATCTCTAATTCTGGAATTTAGATTCAGATTGATGATCAAAAGTGACAAAAAAAAGGAAAACAAAAGTTTTAGAATTGATTGCTTCAGGCTAGTTCTGCTAGATAGTTCGCCTTGTTACTGTTGCCAATTCCTTGCTCATGGTGCATTACAATATAACAGAGAGTACAGAGATAACTTTTGTTGTGATTTGGTGTTCCATTAAAATAATTACTTAATTTAATTTAATTTTAAGAAGAAACAGCCATTATTGATTGATTGAAGTCTCCAATGACCATAAGAACATAGAACATATGATGAGGAACATAGAAGGTGCTGATCTACCCCCGCTTTGATTGGTTAGTGTTTTAGTGAACATAACGTTTAAATAATAAACGTTGTGATCCGTTTAAATGCTAAAGTAACAGTGAAAGGAATCTTTTATTGTGAATATTTGATGTAGAAAATGTAAAGGCTGTTTCTTCAACATGCTGTGAATCGTCTAATCGTCTGACACCTACAGCTGTTAGAGGCATTCAAATTTAGAATATAGAAATAATCAGTCTTATCACTGATGGTCTTATTTGATTCTGTAGGTCAAATAGAGGCATCACAATCAATTTAAGTGTTTCATAGTGGGTTAAAAAGTAGTTCAATGCAGTTTAAAGCAACAGCGAGATTATGAAAAAAAGCCAATCTTTAATCACCTGAGAGAGTCGGGTCGTGCTGCAGGGTCAGTGGCCGATACCAGAGACAGGAAGGAATGGAAAAGCTCCAGTTTACACAGGAGAGACCTAAAGAGGCACAAAAATGTATACAAATAATAAAAAATAATGGAAATAGTGAAAAAATTAAGTAAACTGAATTTTGCTTCATACTGATGTCGTGGGATGAGAGTGCGTTACCTGGCTTTGACGTGCCGAGGGCTTTCTTGGTGACTCCGTGTTTGTAGCCGTTGGCAGTGACATCTAGTGGCTGCTCAGGCACATTACACCAACTGATGGCTGGGACACACACACATGTTTACTTGGGAGAAAAGTCTTTAAACAGCAAGTGAGCTCTTTAAAACCACAGTGTATAAATAATTTATACTTTACTGTTCTTTGATCACAGTGATGAGGATCAGGGTTAATGTACATAAAACAAAATGTACAATGCATTTTACTTCCCTATAATGAATTATAGGTATATTTTAGGCTTTTAAAATCCCTCCGTGACAATGCTGCAGGGTTGTGGATTATGTGGTTAAATTACAGGATATATCCATGTCATGTTTTGCTTCCATTTTCACAACCTTTCAGAAGACAAAGAGTCTACTGTACCAAGAACAGCACAAAACTGTGAAATGATGCAGGGGACACAAAGAAGAAGATTGCATGTTTATCTAGAGTAGAATCTATATTCAATTATTTCTTCAAGGTCAAGATGACTCACACATGGGCATGTAAAAAAAAAAAAAAACGATCACAAAAAGCCTGCAGTCATCTGGTGAACAGGTGATCAGACAGGAGGCTTTGTTTACTTCTGATGTGATCAAGTTTGCTAAACGGAGAAAATGAGATTGATGTGGCTCAAACATTGAAACCAGACTGAAGAGCTGTTTGGGATTCTCTGGAGCTCAACAAAAAATTGATCTTTAGTAGTTAAAAGTGAAAGTGCAGTCACACATGTTTGTGATCTTCTCATATTCAACCATGTTTAGGCCTCAGGCCAACACGTTCGATTGGCACATCTGTGTGACGTGTTTAGGTGTAAAATACATCAGGCATTCTTCTTCTCCAGGAAAACCTCAAAGCACAACATCATCTCTGCTGGGCAGGGGGAAAACAGAGACAGCGATGTGATGGGAAACACATTTAAAATGTATTTATCACGACTCTGGTCTCCATCAGCAGAGGAACATCAGTAGAACTTGGTAAGAACACCAGCCATGATAATCTTAACTTTCAACAAGAGATCAATCAAAGAGATTTTCTGGTTTATAGTCACAAGATTTCACACGTTGATTTTGTATTGCTACAGCAACATGGCTGCTATGTAGAGTGACCATCAGAATGAACTAATCCCATGAATTCATACGCAGCCGAGGAAAGGAGCAATTTGCCCGAGGGCACATCAGACATGTCGCTGTAGGAGCTGGGGATCGAACCCCCGACCTTCAGATTGAGAAACTACCGACTCTACCATTGAGCCACAGCTGCCTTTGTGTGTGTTTGTTTGTCCATTCTATTGTACCTGCCCCACAGGGGGAGATCCGTCCCTTTCCGTCCTGGTGTTGGAGCTCGGTCTGAGCCTGACTGAACGGGAACTCCAGGCTGGATTGGAGCAGCTCAGGTGCACACACAGAGAAACCAGCAGGAAGGTTAGACACACGGGAACACCTGAGGGACACGACAGGGACTACATTGTAAAGAGCTTGCTGACTTACCCACACTGAAGGAAAACACCTCCACCAACACTGAGCAGAAACATCTTCTAATTTCACTGAGGATTAGGGAATTAAACCTGAAATAGAATTGTAACACTAATCACAAAATATAGGTTCATTTTCCTGATTCACTTCTTTGTTCTCACATTTCTCTTCCTTTAGCTCTCCTTCTTCAGTTTGGGAGGAGACAACTCACATTTATATTGTTTGAAATATTGAGGGTTAGGGGGGGGGCGTTAAGTGAAGCACTGGTAGAGGACGGCAAAGCAATGAACTAGGTTGCAGGTGTCGACTGATTTCTGTCATGAATCAGAGCGCGCTGACTCCCCTGTACCATAGAATGATACTAGACGAAGGATGGCAGACAAAACAAAAAAACTAAAGTTGTATAAAATAAACTCACACATAAGTGTTTATCCTAGAGATTGTTTATAGGAAGTACGAATAAAAAACATCGTTAAAGATGTTCTTCTTCATTTTTTTTTAAATCTAGTTTTAGTATCTATTTTTTTGTACATTCTTAATTTTTCTTTTTTTAATTTAAATTGTACTGTGTTCTGTTCACTTTCTGTTTGCAATCTTTGCTCTTTGCTGCTGTAACACTGTAAATTTCCCCGTTGTGGGATAAATAAAGGATTATATTTTCTTATCTTATCTTATAGACTTCAGTTTGGCCATCATCACCTTGAGTCTTTGGAGGCAGAAAT